GACGACGCGACGGAGCACGTGATCACGCAGTCCGCGACGGAAGCGAACCGCCGGAGTAAGAAGCCCGATATGGAAACGACCACCCATCAGATCAGCCGATCACCGGCATCGCGGCGCCACCCGAGATCCGTCACGCCAAGCGTAAATATTTTGGAATAAGTACTCGTAACCTAGGATGTCCCAAATCCGCGGCGATTGTGCGGTGTCGTCGTGGCATTTGAAGGTTCTCTCACTTTGACACTTGCGGACTCCTCCCCCCCCACATGGACTTCGTGAAAACAGTTCTCGGGATCGTACCTGTGCCATATCTCAGTGCTGCATTTTCCTTGCTGAAGTATATCTACGATTCCATCCAGCAGGTGCAGACCAACAAGAGACAGTTGTGGATACTCATTGAGTCTACCGCCCGGCTTCTCAACACACTAAATGACCAGTTCCGAGCCGATAAGATATCAGCGCGCAGACTATGGGCAGAGATTTTGGATCTTGAGAGGTTGGGATACACATTGTTTCTTGCGTCAAACCACCAACATGAGATTCACGCTGTTCTAGTTTGCTGAAAGAAATCTACTCTTTTGTGGTGAAGACCATTAGGCAGCATTTCATCAAGAGCCTGTTCACCAAACAGGATACGATGGAAATGATTGATGGGTTCACTCGAAGAATCACTGGTTTGGTTCAGGCCTTCCAGGTGCTGCCGTTGCGATTTAGCCTTCGACGCGCTCATGTAGGTTGTGCAGATAACATCCGCACTGCATGTGCATGATTGGCAGGCAAAAAATGATGCTGCACGTCAAGAAGACCAGCAGCAGCTCGTGGCAAAACTCGATGAGCTTCAGAGAAGCGACATGAAGTTGATGGAAGCTCTCAGTGAGTAAATATATGTATCGCGTCCCATGTCTGCTGAACTCTCAATCTCAATTATGTCAGACGTAAACCAAGAAAATATGGCCGCGATGATGATTGCGCTCATGCGTCAAATGAAGCATGTTTCCCGCGAAGATGACCCTCAATACCGGTTCTATTCGCAGAGTCTCAACCGCCTGTCGGCCATGAGCAGACAGGAGCTGGAGCTCAGAGACGAGATTGTCACAGTATTTGAGGTAGACTTCGAGGAGAAGATTGGTAGCGGTGGGTTGTGAGTCTCCGTCCGACACCGAAAAATTCACTTGACCATGTCATCCCTCAGCGGTGATGTGTACCGTGGAATTTGGCACAAGACGGAAGTGGCACTGAAAGTTGTGCGCACAGCAGGCGATGTTGTCCCCACGTCAGAAGTGCGTACTACATGTATATTGCTTAATTTTTGTGTAACCCCTTAGAAAGGCCGTCCTGCGCGAGATAACGGTGATTCGAATTCCTACTCTTGCAAACATAACTGACCTAAGCGCTTAGCTGTGGGCCCCATTGCGCCATCCAAACGTTTTGCGTGAGAATATAGTTATAACTTATTTCGGATGTGTTTTTCTAATCTGTTCCATACCAGCTTTCCTAGGCGCAAATCATCTGGATAGTAGACCTTTTATCGTGATGCCATACATGCGAAACGGGAATGCACGTGAATTCTTGCAAAATCATCCGGATCGGACTCCTGAGCCCATTGTATTTTGTCTGTTGTTGCACTGTCCGCCAAATTCTGACCCGTCTTTCCTTCTGCTCAACTTCAGGTGACGGATTCTGCGCGTGGTCTGCATTATCTCCACTCCAAAAACATTGTTCACGGCGATTTGAAAGCGGTAAAACGATACCCAGCGCGGATTTTGACTGTCATTCATGTCTCTAATTGCAGGCCAACATCCTGATCGACAATGCGGGCACCGCCGTTCTTTGTGATTTTGGCCTTGCACGGATCAAGGCTGACATGACAAGCCGCACTGTGCAGCAGGATATCCAGACAGTGGGCCCTGGAAGCCGAAACTGGATGAGTCCTGAATTACTACGCGGGGCTACCCCACGGAAGACGAGTGACATCTACGCCTTCGGAATGACGATATACGAGGTATTCGCATTTCATTTTATTCTATTTTATTTTTTCACTTCCACCTCTTGCACAGCTCTTCTCGAAAGAAATCCCACTAGGCCATGTTCTTCCGCAGGATTTACGATCCCTCGTGGTGGACGAGGACCTTCGACCGGAAATGCTTGGGATGGATGGTCTACCCATCATGCCGCCTGACGTATGGACCATCGCGGTAATGGCGTGGGCAAAAAATCCCCAGGATCGACCGGACACGGAGGCCCTCTGTGATATTCTGATGCAGATTCGAGTTGAGACTGTCAGTCAACTGGCAGTTAGTCCACCGGCAGTTCCATACAGTGGAAATGCCTTTCAAACTCCAGAACCTCCCCAACAGACTGCAGCCGCCCCAAAACACACCACCCCCGCATCAAACACGATCGGAATTGATTTGGGGACCACCTACTCGTAATTTCCACTTTCTTCTGCTAGCCGAGTGTTCGGTGTTGACTCTACTATAGTTGTGTGGGGATTTGGCAGAATGACCGTGTTGAGATTATTGCCAATAGCCAGGGTAACCGGACGACCCCGTCTTACGTCTCCTTCTCCGACACCGAGCGATTAATCGGCGACGCCGCCAAACGTCAACTCGCCATGAATCCCGCTAACACGTGTGTCTATTTAGAAAGCTTCCACTGCAATTTTCCTGACTCATTCTTGTAGCGTCTTTGGTGCCAAACGGCTAATCGGCCGCAAGTTTGAGGACCCGGAAGTCAGAGCAGATATCAAACACTACCCGTTCACTATCTTCAACAAGGCGGGCAAGCCCAACATTCGGGTCGAATATCGCGGGGAGCAGAAGGAATTTGTGCGTCTTTCTTCCCCTACCAACTTGCTATTCATTTCATTATCGTTGTCATTTCTTAGTCACCCGAGGAAATATCTGCCATGGTTCTGCTGAGGATGAAAGAGACCGCTGAAGCCTATCTCGGAACAACCGTTACCAATTCGGTTGTCACTGTCCCTGCATACTTTAACGACTCCCAGCGCCAGGCCACCAAAGACGCGGGGACCATATCCGGTATGAACGTCCTGCGAATCATCAATGAACCCACTGCCGCTGCTATTGCCTACGGTCTAGACAAGCAGGCCGTAGGAGAGCGTAACGTCCTCATCTTCGATCTCGGCGGCGGAACATTTGACGTCTCTCTCTTGGCCATCACGTCTGGCATCTTCGAGGTCAAGGCCATAGCCGGTAACACTCACCTCGGCGGTGAGGACTTTGATAATCGGCTGGTGGCCCATTTCGTCGGCGAATTCAAGCAAAAGCACAAGAAAGGTGGCTAATCCAGACGTACATTATTATTTATGCCATCCACTGACTTCGAGGCTCAGACCTCTCGAAGAACTTACGTGCTCTGTATCGCCTCCGCACGGCCTGTGAACGTGCCAAGCGCACCCTCTCTTCCGCCACGCAAACCGCGCTCGAGGTCGAGTCCCTGTTCGAGGGCATCGACTTCTACTCTTCCCTCACACGCGCGCGATTCGAGGGGCTCTGCAGAGATCTCTTCCGCGAGACGCTGGAGCCGATGGAGAAGGTTCTCAGAGACTCCACAATTGACAAAAAAAATGTCCATGAGATCGTCCTCGTGGGCGGCTCTACCCGTATTCCCTACATCGTCAAGCTCGTGTCCGAGTTTTTCAACGGGAAAGAGCCCAACAAAAGCATCAATCCTGATGAGGCTATAGCATATGGCGCTGCGGTTCAGGCCGCCATTCTCTCGGGCGACACCTCCCAGGATATTCTCCTCCTCGATATCGCTCCCCTTTCCCTCGGCATCGAGATGGCTGGGGGGACGATGACGCCTTTAATCAAACGCGGTACCACTATCCCGACCAAGAAATCCGAGATGTTCTCCACCTCCACTGATGGACAGCCCGGCGTGTTTATACGGGTTTATGAGGGCGAGCGTTCGCACACTAAGAACAACAATCTGTTGGGAAACTTCGAGCTCAGCGGTATCCCGCCCGCTCCGCGTGGCGTCCCCCAAATTGAGGTTACATTCGATCTGGACACCAATGGTATCCTTGATGTCCATGCTGTCGACAAGATCACCGGCAATTCGAACCGAATTACTATCACCAATGATAAGGGCCGTCTGTCCCAAGAAGAGATCAACCGTATGGTTGTGGAAGCAGAACGTTACAAGGGTATTCATTTTGAAGTTTTTTCTCTATTCTCTTACTCAGTACTTCACTATAGCCGAGGATAATCTTGTTGCCCAGCGCATAACAGCCAAAAATGCTCTGGAATCATATGCATACGGCTTGCGCAACACGTTGGACGGCAATAACTTATCGGGCAAGTTTGACGCCACCGAAAAGACTCTCCTCGAGTTTGCCGTCAACGACACAATCAAGTGGCTGGAAGTGTCGCAGGAGGCGTCCAAGGAGGAGTACGACAGCATGCAAAAGGAGCTGGAGGCCACCGTCAAGTATGCGGCTCTTTTACCTTACTTCATTGACTCGTTACTGAAGTATTTCTTCAGCCCAGTCAGGCAGAGACTGAATATTGCGGGCGGTGTCCTTTCTCCCGGAGAAGGACACCAAGTACTAGGATGGCACTAATCATAGCAGCTCATGGCAGCGAGCCTGTTGTGCCTTTGGCGCCAAAAATAAGCATTAATCCGTGGATCGTTTGCACCATTTTGTGTCTTGCTTTGATTCGCCTGTCGGCTGCGTTGCAGGACACAGTTGCTGGAGTTCCCTGTTCAACTCAGGGCCGAGTCACTCATTCTTTTCTGTCAAATTTGTATTTTTCGCTCTCTTGACTTTTGTTTGAAGATCCTTCAGTTTTGGAAGGAAAAATAAATTGGTGCAGTAGTAATTAACGGTTGCTCATCTTAGTCGCTCCAAGGATTCAGTACATAGGAGGTCCGGTTGACCTCAGGGATCAAATGGCTCATTCTTTTTTCTCTCAAAATGTATTTCGTACGTGCGCCGAAGTTTGCATGAAAGTTCATTTGGCATTGGAAAAAAATGCGACCTGGTGGTGTAATGGGTAACATGCCTGCATATTGCATTCTTGTACTTGTACTTAGGTAGCAATTTGAAGTATGCGGGAGATCCCTGTTCAACTCAGGGCTGGATCATTATTTTTCTTTATTAGAATTTTGAACTTGAATGCTCTGAACTTTAGTTTCTGATATCGAAAATAACACAGTGTAAATCACGGCGAGAACATTGGCAGTCATTCAGCTAACATAGTTCAACTTTGCGTCGGAAGATGCCGGATCAAACCGAACCCGAAATTGTTTGCTGTCACGATCACGATCACGCGTCTGTCCACCAACTCTCCTCGCCTCCTCCACCATGCCCCCTTCGCGGTCGCACCCCCCGAAACAGCGCACGACCATCATCATCGAGACCACCGGCGGCGCCCCCGTCTTCCACATCCCCGTCCCCCTCAACATTGTCTCGCGCGCCCCGCCAGGCGGCGCAGTCAAATTCGTCTTCCGCAACATCGGGGGAACCCCGACGTTCCACGTCGGCGGGGCGGAGGTGGGCGTGGGAGACGAGGATGCGTGGGATTTGGGGAGGGTGGTGAGGGCCGTGGGGGAGCGGAGGGTGAAGATTGAGGAGGAGGAGCAGAGGTTGCGGATAGGTGGTGGGAATGGGGGCGCGGGTGGCGGGGATGTGCGGGTGTGGGTGAAGGAGGAGGAGGAGGAGGTAAGGATTCCGGGGAGGGATAAGGGGAAGGGGAGGGAACGCGATTTGGGTGAGCATATTCTATTTATTTTTGATTTTTGGGTTATTTATTAGCGCAGTAGTGCCGCGACGCGTTGACGGGCCTAGTCGGCAGGTACAAGGTACATATAGATTTATTTTTCGTTATTTTCTTATCTTATGGTAATCCACAGCAGAAACGGTCGACCTGCGCACCCCGCGGCGCCCCGCAATCGAATACACCCCATCCAACTCCCAATCGCAATCGCAGCCCCTCCCGCCCCCTCACCCCCTTACCACCGAAGAGCGCCTCGCATTCGCCCGCGCGTCGCTCACCTCCTCAAATTTCCCCGCAGTATTCTACGATGGCCGGCGAGAGTTCGCGCTCGAATGCGCGCCCGCGCTGCCTGCCGACCGGGCGCTCAGTGCGCGCGAAGAGAAGGAGTACAATAGGCTGTGGGACGCGCTGTTGAGGATGGAGCGGGTGGCGGGGGCACAGATGGGTGAGTTTTCGAATTAGGTATGCAAAAAGTGTGTGGAGGATGGCTGACGACGCGTAATAGACGTGGACGCGCTGCGTCGGCGCACGGGGGAGATGATGTCGGAAGCGGTGGCGCGCGTGCATGCCGCGCAAGGTACGTCGTCGCGCTGTAAAAGCCCCCCCTTTCCTTGACATTGCGTATTTATTTTTATCAGATGCAGGTGGCAGCAGCACCTCCAATTCGAATTCTAATTCCAACTCCAATTCTTCCGGCTCGGGGTCGAGGCTGCATCATCATACTACTACTCCCGGTACGTGCTTTCGCCTTTATTATTTTTTTATTGTATTGCATACGACCTAACTAACCTCTTCCACCCGCAGCACCGGACAGCCGCGCGCAGGATGTCGTCGCCAACACTATGCAGGAGCTCGTGGACATTGACAGCGCAGCTGACAATATCCTCCAGAGCATGGCGCAGGAGGTCGCGGACAGCGTCACGCGAGACGTCGTCGACCTCGTTGGGCGCGATATGGAGGCGCGGGACCTCGTGGGCGTCGCGACGCGGGACCGCGTGGACGTCGCAGCGCAGCTTGCGGGAAAGGGCGTCGCCGCGCGCGACATGGGCATCCCGAAGCGCGACCTGGGCATCACGACGCGCGACATGGCCACTGGCATCGCGGGGCAAGACGTCGTGGACCTCGTGCGCACCGGCCTCGGGTCCCTGCGCGCCGCGCTCGTCGCTGCCTCGACCTCCAACTCCAACTCCAACTCGACCTCCCACTCGGCCTCACACTCGGCCTCAACGTCGATTGCGAGCTCGCCGTCGACCGCTGCGGTGGCAAGGCGGACGCGGGCGCGCGGTGCGGACGTCCAACACCAGTCGCATGCGCGCACGGCGCTCGCGTCGGGGAGCGGCAGCGGTGGCGTCGGTGCTGCTGTCGGGGATAATACTACGGACGCGCGGCGAGGTAGGTTATCTATTCTTCCGGTACGCTTTGCATGAAAGGTGCTGACTGGTGCGCGCGCGCAGATTCGGGCCATGAGCAGGGCAGGCACGAACAGCGGCGGCGCCTGGGGGGAGGTGCGTTTGCTTTCGGTTTAGGTCGTTTGCGGTTTTTTCTTCTATTCGATTTTGCGATTTTTTTTGTTTTTCTGCGGGGGCCCTTTCTTCGCCTAGGGGCAGGCGGTTAGTCCTGCTCGCACGTCTGGTCGTCTTCCGTGTCTTTGGCTCGCCCGACCCTTGGCCCGCCCTCGTTTTTCCGTTTCCTACTTTATTTATTTCCTTTTCCTTTCCTTTTTTCTTTCTTTTTCGTCTATCGGTTTCGGACTCGTTTCTCCCTTGCGTGCGTCCTCCGCTCCGCACCCCGTCGTTCGAGTGCTGACAATGGGAGGGGGCCGACGATGGAGATGAGGCCGTTCGCTCCGCACCCCGTCCGTCGAGCGCTGGGAGGCGGCTGACGATGGGAGGCGAGGTGCTTGCGCCTTTCTCCGCCCTTGCTGTGGGGCATACGCCCTCCACCCTCGCTGCGGTGCATGCGCCCTCCGCTCCGCTCGCACCTATACCTAGCGTGATCCGCCGTCGGTCAGGCGCTGGGAGGCAAGGGGGCCAACACAGGTACGGCGCCGGGCGGACACAGACAGATCTGGCGCATCCAGCGCCGGACGAGAGAGAGCCGGCGCTGGGAAGTCGCCTACTCCCGAGTGCGCTGGAGTATGCAGTGTAGTTCGCTGGGGCTCGTACCGCCGAGGAGAGAGGGAGAGCAGGCGCACTGTGACCGGGACGGGCGGGGCGCTGCATGCAATGCACGGCATGCCTGCCCTTCGCGCATGCGGGACGTGCCGGTCTTTTGCGCGTCCACGACTCGCCGGGGGTCGGCGTACCACTTGTTCGATGCACACATCCTCTGAACGCGGTAGTTGGGTCGGCATGCACGCCCCAAGCGGGAGACGCGGTTCTGCGTGTGCCTGGCGCGGTGTGCCGCATCCTTGGGCAGCGCACGGCCATATATACCCCTGTGCTGCTTTACCTAGAGGCAGACGTGCTTAGCGTGCAGGCGCACGCCGTGTAGGCTATTCATCATTTTCCACGCGACGTTGTTTATTATGCGCGCGCGCCCTCGGTCGGGGGGCGGTCATTCTCGTCAGTGACTGCAACGACGCACGCGGTGTGGATGTACCCCCGCGCTTGCTTTTAGCGCGTACTGGGGGCGGCTGACATGCGGCTCGTCGGGTGGCTGACGAGCGCTGTCTGTGCTCCTGCGACGAGTGTGTGGAACGCGTTCGTGCTCTGGAGGCTCGTTGGGCGGCTGACGAGCGCCACATGTGCTTCTGCGGCGAGTGGCTGGCTGGCTACTGTGCGGAACGCGCTAGTGCTGGAGGCTCGTTGGGTGGCTGACGAGCGGTTTGTGTGTCGACCGCTGACTTACTATGCCCGTACTACTCGGTGGCAGACCCGTCGAGGTTTGGTGGCTTCTCGCATGGCTGGTGCGCGTTTGGGCTTGGCGGCTCGACGGGACCCCCAGGATTCGTATCTCGGTGGCTTATCGCTCGTCCGTTCTCGATAGTGCCCCGCATCAGGAGGAGTGGCTGCAGAGCCCTTGGTGGCGCTTCGACCCTCTTTTCTTCTTCTCGCGTCTCGACCGTTTATTCTCTTCTATTCTATCCCTCCCACTCGCCTTTTCTTCATTCTCCTTCCTTTCTTCTTCCCTTCTTAATCCTTCCCTTGGTTCTTCCCCCCTCCTCTTTTCCCTCTTCCCTCGGGCGACGCCCGCTAACCATCCCTGTCCCACAGAAACGACGAAAGAGAATGCGGCGCCGCGGGCCCTCGCCTTCTCCAAGGCCGCTGCGACGAAGAGCACCACCGCCGGCGCCGCGAAGCCGTTGCTCCTCCATAACAACAACGACGCCGGCGCGGGTGTTACGTCACGCGATGGGAATATGAGCAACAATAGCCATGCGAACACGAGCAACAACAGCCATGCGAATACGAGCAGCAATAGCCACGCGAATACGAGCAGCAATAGCCACGCGAATACGACTACGAACATCAACAACAAGAACGGTAAACGCCCGCGCGCCGAGGACGAGGGTGGAGCCGCGGATGTGGATGGAGATGTGAAAACGGACTCAGGGTATGGGACGGGGGGCGGGGCGTCGATGGCGAAGCGGACGAGGCTGTTGGCGCTTATGGGGAAGGTGCCGGGACGGGCGGCGACAACGACGGGACCAGGAGAAGCGGCATCAGCGACCGCGACGGCGCGGCCCATGATCACGACAACGACAACGACCAATGAGACAACGCCGCGAGCGACGGCAGCACCCGCAGTGCCGCGGACGACGAGGGCGCGCTCGAAGGCCGCAGCAGCAGCATTAGCTGCGAATCTGGGAAGAACGAACTCGATGCCGTCCGTGGCGACAAGTTCCAAAGCGGATGCTGCAGTGCCAACGAGGAGCGCGACGACACACCCCGCTAGCCGCGCGCCTCCCCCGAAGACGCGGCTGACGTATTCACCGAATATGGCGGTGTATGCGGCGTGGATACCTGCTGAGGCGGGGCACGGCGACGGTGTGCCTGTGTCCGGCGAGAAGACCTCAGCGCTTATCACGCCGGCGGAGCGCGTGTGGCTTGCGGCGCAGGGGGACCTGGCGCGCGCGCCGGACTGGTGGCGGCCGGTGCGGTGGCTAGACCTGGGGTGGCGGATGTATGGGGAGGCGAAGCGGGGGTACGAGGTTGGTCAGGCGGGGGGGGTGGGTGAGGAGACGTCGGCCAATGCGTCTTCTTTAGCACGAGGGGCGATAAGGCCGCTGCACCACGGTGTGCTGCTTGAGGCGTGGGACCGCGGGGAGTGGCGCTTCGAGGGGCACGAGGGCGTCGGGCGCGTGGGGGTGGGGTGGGGGGAGTGGGTGCGGAGTGAGGAGGGGGGGAGGTGGAGGGCTGGGACGCTCGATTGGGGGTTGTGGTCGGGAACGGGATCGGGGTGATTGCGCGAACCCTTGCGGAGTGGTACCCATGAGCGGTACGACGGCATCAATGGGACATGTCACCGTCTTGGAGAGCGAACATCGCGTGGAGGGACGTCGGGTTGTAGCAAAAGCTCTTGCGGGTTTTTTTTTTTGCGTTTTTCTAGTATTTGGCTGTATAAATGTAATTGATTACTGAGATATGATGCTATGGAATTTCAATCGATGACTACGTCGGTACTCAGCTGTATGCTTGCTCGCCGATTCTCCTTGTCCAAGTCCATCAAAATTTGATGTCGGCACGCGAAGCGGAGTTTGAAGTTCCTTTTCTTCTCCATATCTTCTTCAAAAACACATGGGCCAAGCCTGGCTGACGGTAAATTTGGACAAAAAGAAGAGCGAAGGGGGCGCATCTATTGAGGACATAATCTTCCGCCATGACTTTCCTGGTCCGAGTCATCTCGATACCCTGCTGCGACGACCCGAGACGAAACTCCCAGGCATGGAGGTCGTGTTCCCGCCGTTTGCCCCTGGCGCACTCTATCGAGCAGCCCGAGACGAATACCCGGCCAAATATTTCCCGCTCACAGCGCCGCTCAGGTGAGCCTTGTGTGTCGTCGACGCACATTCAATCAATTTCTGACTCAGAGTCGTGCACAGCTTCACTATGACTTTGATAAATCTTCCGGTTGAAATAATCGGCGAGATATTCTCCCACATATCCTCGCATACCGACCTGCCGCTGCTGGACATAGCATGTCTCAGCATGACCTGCCAGCTCCTCTACGAGATTGGACGGGAGTACATGTACCGCTACGTCGCTCAGGTCGCTGCATACACCTGGGCCGGCGACAGACTCATCTGTGTCGGGGAGTTCCTCGAAAATAAGGACATACCTGCAGGCATTTTGACTACGGCCGAAGAAGCAGAGCTCGCCGACCCGGCAGCCTACAGAGACAGCGAACAGCGGCTGCACCGTATAATTTATTTTCCCTACACCCAACAAACCATGGATGAGCTGCCCTTTAGCATGGAGAAGATCTGGACATTCCACTGCCCCTTTTCCAAACGTTTCCGATACGGTTCCCCGGACGGAGAGGATGCTTCTGTCCTACAAGGCTTCTATGACGATTTTCGCCCCATCCGCCGACCGCGTGCCACGGACGAGCTTTCTGTCCTGCGGAATCTGTCGCGCAAAGAATATGTTCGTGGGTCGGTGCTGTGTGAGCTGCGGACCACGCACAGTGGGACTTTCTTGGACATGAGCAAGATGGGTCTGGGGGAGGCCGTGGTCATACGCATTTGCTTCTCGACCGACGACGCGGGCACAGCATCGTATGCCGGTATTCACCAGGGCGCATGGGTGGGGGATCGGTTCGACATTGTGGAGGGTCTTGAGTGGTTGGACGATGGAGATGAGGTGTGGACCGATGTTAGCGGCGAGGTGTCTCAGGAACTTGAGGGCGCATGGCGTGTCGAGTGGTTGTAACTGAAGCAACTTTTTCCAACGTAAGCAGTGGAATGTGTCTATAGTATGTGACCTGTTGTTTAGTTGACAATTGTCTAGTGCATTCGCACTGTTTTTTTTTTTTTTTACGATGTTAAAATTTATTTAAAATATTCAGAGCATTCAAAATGACCCAGCCCTAAGTCGAATGCCGTAAATCTTTTACATCGAGGGCTACAATATGCAGGCATGTTTCCAACGACACCCCCAAGTCCTATTTCCCTTCAAAGCCAAATTAGCTTGTACCGAAACTTTGGGTGGAATGAAATACATTTTTTGAGAGAAAAAAAAATAATGAGCCAGTCCTGAGTTGAACAGGGATTTCTGGCATATGGTGATTACCCACTGAAGAACGTGCGCAGGCGTGTTACCCACTACACCGCCAGGTCATCTTGCATCCTTATCCCAAACCCAAAGCTGACTCGCCGAAAATAAAATGTACAAGGATCTTTTACACAAAATTGACCTAGCCCTGAGTCGAACAGGTATGAGCTACGGATATCCGAACAGCTATCCCGAGATCAGAGGTGTTAACCACTACACCGCCAGGTCGCATCCATGATCCACATGGGTAAATGTTGGCCATTCACAAATCCGACGCAAAACAAAACCAACTGAAGTGAACACGGAGAAGAGTACAACCCGAACATAAAGTCAAATTGAACCGCCCCGTTATAATGAGTCATTGTAAAATAGTTTTCACACTGCAAGCCTTCCACGCTCTAATTTAAACAATTCGTGTTCATATTCAATCCAAACTGCAAACGGCTGTAAATCGAGAACACTTCTCTAGTGACCAAAGATCGCCATGGGCTGATAAGGCTCCTCCAAGAGCTTGATCTCCTCCTCGGTGAGTTTTACATTAATTGCTCCTGAAAGATAAATAAATATCTCATACTCGCCCATCTCTGAAAACTAGGAGAACAGACTCACCAACTATATCCTTGAGATTATCGAGGGAGGAGGTGCCCACAATCGGGGCGGAGACGGCTGGTTCCGTTGTAAGTACCTGCAAGATGAGCCCGAAAAATATATATGCATACCTTTCTTGGACAAAACCCACGCGACGGAAACCTGCGCCATGCTAATGGCGCGTTTCTTAGCGACTTGTTCGACTCTGGATTTAATGAGGTATCAGCGGGTGGCCTTTACAGTTCTGAGCGCGATCCTCGCCTTCTCACCACCTCCTTGTTGGCGTCAGAAGAGACATAACGGGAGGCCGGATACCTAGAAAAAAATTCGTGTCAAAGCTGAAGTGTTGACAGGTCTGTCATAATGTGTACGCACAAGTCGGAGCTCCCCCGACTTGTATCAATCTGCCTCGCGAGGGGGCGCGAAAGCGCGCCGCGGGCAAGGGGAGACCACGGGATGGAACCGACGCCGAACATCTGTTTATTATGCCAATCAGTCATGGGTCATACGGAGGATCGTCACTTACCTCCAACAACGGCATCATTTCTCGCTCTTCTTCCCGGTAAACGAGCGAGTACTGGTTCTGCATGGATATGAAGGGCGTCAAGCCATTGGTGATAGCGTAGTCTAAATTAGACGGTAAGCCAGAGCGATCAGAGTCTAGAATGTATAAACTATACTCTGCATAGCATGGACTGGGGAGTAGACAAGCGTCAGTATCTGCGAACGCACCCAGTTGAATAATATTGCGCTCACACTGGTAGGCATAGCAAGAGGACATTCCAATGTAGCGCACGTATCCGGCCTTGACAACGTCGTGGAGGGCGTGCATCTGTTGAACTATGAGTTGAAACCGGCTCGTACAACTGGGAAGCCGACGCACCGTTTCAGAAATGGGCGTATTGGGGTCAAATCGATGGCCTAGTCCGATGAGCAAGCGAGCCGGGTGGCACTGGGAGAGAAAAAAACGCACACTGCAGCAGATCGATATATTCGAGGTCCAGGCGGCGCAAACTGTGCTTCACGGAGTCGAAGATATGCTACGTTCCACAGGGTGTCAGAACATGCAGTGGATAGAACTTCGAGAATATACATACCTTGCGGCTCAGCCCGTACTGATTCACGTAGCCGCTGCTGTCCAGATCCGTGCGCCCATACAGCGCCTCCTGCGCATCGCGCGAGACGGCGCCGCACAACTTGGTCATCACGACGATTTCGTCACGCGGCAATTGGTGCTTTTTGATCGCGCGTCCCAGGATTTCCTCAGAAATTCCGTTGGAGTATACCTAGTTTAAAGACTCGTGTTTCAGTCACTAATTAACTCCACTTTCCAAATTCCAACGGCATGCATACGTTCGCCGTGTCAAATGCATTGATGCCGTAGTCATAACTGGAGTCGACGCGGTGAAAAAGAAGAACAGTAAGGAATGGGAAATTAACGCACGCAGCCTTGATGTGCTTCGAGGCCTCCTCCTCCGCGAGGACCCAGTTGCCGGACCATTCGGGATGCCCGTAGGTCATGCACCCGAGGATAATTTTCGAGATTTTCAGGCCTGATTGACCGAGGCGCACTGAAGATGGAGGTACCCAGGGTCAGCTGCAGAGTTATTTGCGCATTCAATGGAGGCGAACCGTATTGCATCTGAGGGGCGGACATTTCGAGGAAGCAGATAGGATTGGATGTTCGACCTTCCTTCGGCTGCTGTATTTAAACGATTGGGAGTTTGCCGTGTTGAGTTCCCGAAAAGGAGACGGGCATCCACGGAACTGCGAACGTATGTTCGCCGAGGAGCGATAGATGACGAATTCCTTCGGCACAGTTCTCAAACAGTGCTACATGAACGAATTTCCCGATAACATAGGGAAAATAAGACAAAAGGAATAAGTAAGCCACGGAAAAGACACCGTAAAACGAGAACATCGGGACTGGGAGTAAACGATAGCAATCGCCGCGAGGTTCGGCAATTGTTGTGTGACAAACAACTCGAGTTGAACTGACCAAGGCATCGCGGCGATTACTGCAGCAGGCATTGGAACCATTGGACGCCAGGCGTCGGCTGGAGTCGAATGTGTAGGTGAAAGGCAAGGCGAAAGGATGGAGTTGGAGCACATGCCAGTCACATTGACAGCAACGGCCCGAAGTTCCGATCAAACGTGGTTTTGCAGCAAACCGCCATGTCCGAGGTACGAGTTTGAATGGTGAGGCGTCTGTCTAGGAGAGACTAACAGATATGCAGAAACAGCCAGTTCATCCTCAGACTCTGATACTCGACTTCCTCTTCGATATCACCTCCAAAATCTTTGTCGATTGTCTTCCTGACGAGGCGCCTTCAAGTTCCTTGCCTCGCCCAGACGAGGCGCCCATCGTTCTCACCCGCGTTTGAAAGGAATGGCAGGCAACTTCTCCAAACACATCTAAAATTTGGAGTGTGTTCCGCGTAACTTGCGATTGCATTCTCTAAACTGCCACATGAAAAAATACATTTCTCTCCTCGACACTTGGCTTGCTCGTGCCAAAGCCCATCTATTGTCGATAACCCTCAGCTACCACGGCGCGGCATTGGACGGACGTCTCATCGAGTCTCTCAACCGATATATATCTTAGTGTCGCGAGATCTCGCTTGGTCTCTCGCTTCTGCCTGTCAGCTCCTCCGCTCCCCGGATTCCTTCCCACTACTCGAGCGCCTCAGCCTGGCCGGTCTCAAGAATGAGCCTTCCTTGACAGTCTTTCGATCTGCCCCGATGTTACATCATGTTCAACTGGGGCATGAACTTTGGCTGGGAGATGTCGCACTTCCCTGGCAGCAGCTAACGAACTTTGAATGCTACGATGTCACAAAGAGTCCGATTTCACTTATAATCTTCTATAAGGCCATTCTGAGCCTTAGCATGAAATTAAGCGAGGTTATAGGGTCTTATAAGTGCTTATAACCTTGCTTAATTTCACGCTAAAGTTCAGAATGGCCTTATAGAAGATTATAAGCGAAATCGGACGTTTGCGACATGTTTGGCCGTCGTGCAGTGTCTGGAAATCATTTAGTGCCCGATTTGGACTATTAGTGACAAAGCATTCCCACCATCAATTTTAGTCCCAATTTAGTAGAATTGCCGATGACTACCAGTTTACAGCCATTTGCGGAACTTTCCCCGAGCGGTTTTTTTGATCGTATTTACCAACATGCTTGTTGCGGTCGCAGTTCGTGGGCTATCCGCATATAAATTATATCTCCGTGCTCGCCTTGGGATTCCACATGGCATGGCCTATACAGAATATTTTTATTGTGCCTCTAGTCACTCCCTTTACAAAATATGCTGTTTTAGCGAAAATCTATTTCTGAAGGAGAAGTATGGACCTGGGAGCCCTCAAATATGGCAGGAAGTTACTACCCAGTTACTCTAAAGACACCATGTACTCCGAATACCTTTACACCCCTCCATTGCAATAAACGACGTGATTGAATCTTAAAATATGCAGTCTTAGGACAACTTGCCTAGGATTCGTTTACGGAGCTACTCTTGGGAGCATAAACAAATATTATGGCTCTAAGGTATACCCTTGGATATTATGAAGGGCTTGTACAGCTCAATTTTTAGCTGCGAGGCTATGTTCCAGCACTGAGACGTGCCGCATGAACTTTGATCAGTCACACTCACATGTCTCATTACTCTGCAGGAAGGGAAGCAGAAATGCAATCCCGCCCAGGAAGGAACAACAGGAGTAAATGCATTGGACATAGTGGACAGATAGATAAGTAATTTTCGATAGTTTGAAAAGGTACATGAATGAGTTTGTGTCACGATTCGAGCCTAATCTTATCGAGACAACGTCTATCTTGGCACCCAAGATCTTAGCGCCCCATTATCTAAACGACGACGATGATATCATGATTAGTCAGGAAGACTGGGAGATGGCCGGTTAAAGGCAGGCATGATGTCATGGATATATTTATCCTCGCAGAACGTTGTGGAACATGGAAGAACATTCCGCCATGAGGCTACAGGACGTTTACATACAGGCTTCCATATGTACGTAGTTCACATGGTTCGACCAGAACAGTATAAGTAGAGTAGTGTTTCGACTTGTAGTAGTTAACCTTTTATTCCATCATCTTCGAGATCTCTACATATGCACTACCCAATCCCTCTCATCTTACCGAGAGTGGACACGTTGAGTCTTGACTGTGACATAATAAAAGGTTACCCATCATACCCTCGTACCGCCCCTACCGACCTCCTTTCCCTGCCATCCCCCCACTCTTCCTTTTACCTCTTTCTGCCGTCGTGGCAGCCTCTTACCTGAAGATCCACTTCCCCTTTACCAACATTCACGTCGTCCACACCGACGTTAAACAATTGCAGCGACCATCGTTCGTGGTTCACTCGAACAGACAGACGCTAGGCCACAGGAAACGTTGAGACCGTCCCCAGCCCTATAGCAGTCGCAGGAGCACTAGCCTGACCTTCGGGGAGGACTATCTCGCTATCACCGGGGGTGTCGTAGAAGACCCGGGGTAGTTCTATTAGCAACAAACCACATCGACCCCACCATCCGCTTAGTGCGGACTCATACCGAAAGCCGTGACGCCTCGCATTCACGCACCCTCCGGATACTCTTCCGATTCGTCGGACCCTCTTACCGC